GTGCTCGTTCTTCTTTTCTAAATACGTATGCCTTAGAGAGTCAAACACACGTATCGTCCCCTTGTGTAACGAGATCTGGACAGTCACGTAGTGGCCGGTCAAATTCACTACTCCAATAATCTGTTGCATTTTTTTTCGAAACGGTAGAATATTATAGCCAACGGCAAGAATAGAGTACAACCATACTACAAACGAGTAGAATAGGAGCGCGCTAAGAGAAGCGAACTAGAAAAAATAAACCAAAATAACTAAACTAGTGACAAAACACCGGCAAAGACAACCTTTGAGCCCGGCCTTTGTCACTAAGTCTAGGTGCACTAAGCAGAGCCACAGTGCGACAAAAAGTAAAACCACCACTGAGCAGGAGCCCCTAGTGATTTTACAGCTACTAACAGAAAACCAACCAAATCAAAAGCAAAACCAAAACAACAGAGGAACTGAACTAGACAAAGCTAATCTAATCTGAACAGAAACTACTAAGAGGCCGGGACTACTCTTGGAGGGGGGCAAGATGCTTGCTCCTGCCAAGCTGACAAAGATGATTGGACAATAGAGTATTCCGCAAGCCAGAAGTTTTGGAACACCCAGAGATTCCGGGCTTTCCACAGCCACCATAAGAGGTAAGCTGTCAACTGGATTCTGTCTTGAGAAAGAGAGGAGTTGCTGAGATTACAGATCTTAGTCCACCATTGCCTGAAGCAGCTGGTATCCTCCTTCAGCCCATCCCAAGAGATTGGAGAAAGCTTCCATACCTTTTTGCTTTAGGGCACTCAAAAAAGATGTGCTCCGTAGTTTCTATCTCTTCACCACAGGATTTACAAAAGGGATCTATGGACATCTTCTTATTTATGAGGTTAGAGTTAACTGGGAGGATGTTTGAAAAGCTCTTCCATATGAAATGTTTCACTTTACCAGCTATTGGAAGTGACCAACTCTTGATTCTGGCTTTGGTCTCCTCTGTTCTTGGTCTGCTTCCTTCAGGGAGGTCCATTTTTATCCATTTCTCTTCTACAAGTTGATCATAGATTGCATTGAGTTGTGAGAAATTCACTAATTTTTTAGGAAAGATTGCAATATTAATT